AAAAAGTAAAGATGTCACTTTAAAGACCAAGGTACACCTGACCCCAGCCATAGTATTTTCAGTCACCTCATATGCTTGTGAAAACTGGACAATGCATAAGGAAGACCAAAGAAGAATGAATGCATTTGAGTTACGGCATCGGTAAAGAATACTGAACATACTGTGGACTGCCAGAAGAACAAACAAATCTGTCTTGGAAATACAGACAGAATGCTCCTTAGGAGAGACTTCATCTCCCGTACTTTGGATGGGGATTGATATGGCTGCAGGAATGGGCTCAAACAGCAGCAATTGCGAGGATGGCTTTGGAGCAGGCAATGGTAATTCCTGTGTACACAGGGTTGCTGTGAATTGGAACCGACTCGATGGCACTTAATAATCTTAACTGATCCTATTTTTAAGGGACCTGCTTCTACCCTCAAGCTCTGGTGGCACAGTGGTTAAGCACTTGGTTGCTGACCAAAAGGTCAACAGTTCAAACACTTTTTCTACTCTTTGGGAGAAAGATGTGGCAGTCTGCTTCCGTAAACATCGTTGATTCCTATTCATAATGACGCTGTGCGCAACAGAACGAAACACTGCCTAGTCCTGCGCAATCGTCACAGTTTTTGTTACACTTGAACCCATTGCTTCTGCCACTGTGCCAGTTCACCTCCTTAGGGTCTTCCTCTTTTCCACTGACCATCCACATTACCAAGCATGATGTCCTTCTCCAGGGGCTGGTCTCTCCTGATAATATGTTCAAAGTATGAGAGACAACGTCTCACTATCCTGGAGCGGTCTGGCTGTACTTTTTCCAAGCCAGATTTGTTTGTTCTCTCATTCCATAGTACTTTGAATATTGTTCTCCAACCCCATAACTCAAACGCATCAATTCTTCTGTGGTCTTTGTAGTCATTGTCCAACTTTCACATGCATGTGATTGAAAATACCATGGCTTGGGTCAGGAGCACCTTAATCCTCAAACTGACACCTTTGTTCTTGAACACTTTTAAGAGGTCTTGTGCAGCAGATTTGTCTAATGCAATAGGTCATTTGATTTCTTGACTACTGCTTCCATGAATGTTGATTGTGGACCCAAGAAAAATCAAGTCTTAAACAACTTCAGTCTTTCTCCATAAAGATTGTTGTTGTTAGGTGCCATCGAGTCGGT